AAAAATACTGCTCTCTTTTGAGCTATCTAAATGGCGACATTCAATGAAATCCATGCTGTACTACAAGAATACCTTTCAGACATTTTCTATTATGGCTTAATTCACACGGCCAAAAGACGAATTTTAATCTTTTAATCTGTGTTTGCATTCATAGTTTATGCTAGTTGATATAAACTCAATGATTATTCAGATGCCCACAGTCGGACGAATACTTTCTCAATGTTTTGGTGACAACTTTCTGCTATGGTCTTTCAAGCTTTAACACGCTATCTTGGTAAATGCCAACTTCTTTGCTTTAAGGTATTTGGATGCGTAACTTTCAGCATTTGTTGACTTTCTTGGAAGTATTTCAATGAACTAAGCATGATATTGTCCTCAGGCATCCTCTGGAACCCTCTTCAGCTGGCTCCTTCCATTCGCGTTTGATTGTGAATAAAGTAAAAGTTTTTTAAAATGTTCGCTATAATCGCACGTTTTCTCCGCAGTTTCACTCATATTATTGAACTCCTTGTTTTTTTAGCAAATCTTTCATGTGTGCAATAGACTCTATAACAAAAACATGGGATCAGCCTCCTTGATGCCTCATTCTCTTACGCATACCACTTAATTGTATATAGTCCATTTTCTATCTCCTGCTAGAATACATTACTAAAGACGGCCACCGGCTAGTGACTAGGCACAGACATTACGTCCAATAAAATAATAAGGCATCTAGGCGTGTGGTCCAGAAGATGTTCCGGATCCTTTAAAATAATCCAAATAAAAGTTTATAGCATGCGCTGATGATGCCTGTTGTTGGTTTCCATAAGTCATTATCCCAGGAATCCAGTCATCCTGTCAGAAGGTCCCTTCACTGAGAAATTAATTTTCGAGGCCATTGACTCCAGGACGAGACTCTTTATAAATATCAGTCCCGAATAATTGACGACATCCTTAAACGGTTAGCTATTTTTTCACAATTCTTTGAAGTTACTTAACAGCGTTTACTGTAAGAGGGCTTTTTAAACTTCAATACAAACATTAAAAATTTGATGTCTAACCTGGGATTCGATTCAACTTTTTATTATATGACATTATTTTAAAATATATCCTATTAGAGCTAGTTTATGTCGCTTGTTTAAAAATGGATAGAAAAGCTACCCATTTATTTGTTCAGAGTCTTATATTTATATAGACTACACTTTGTAATGCATAGTTCACTCACATGCATAATGTCTTAGTGCGTTTTTATATAGCTTATTTACCACTGCAGCGATTTCCATCTATTCGAGGTTTTTATTTTTTCACTCTTCCTCCTTTATTTATCCATGTTTAGTTACAGAATTTTTGATGCAGAAGACGCTTCTCCGCGAGCATGGTGTCCAGAAAGGCTAGTTGGCGCCCAACTCGACCAATGGTTACAAGCGGACTTTGACAGACTATACGTCATCTCCACTCTTGTCGTCAAGGGCCGTAACACAAAGCCAGTAAGCAATTTATCTGTTAAACATGCTTCTGAATGTCGAATTTGAGTTCTTGGTCGAGATTCCGCCAAGTGCTCACAAGGACATCTAACCTTCAATTTGATCGTTTAATTTTTCTAGTGTGTTGTCTGGATATGCATGATTGCTATAGCATCAAGGAATCGGTAAATCTATCAATGTTAGTATTCTTCGAAACAAAGTTCTTATCTAAATTATTCATAAAATTCTTTGAATTATGTTGACTGCTGCTTCTGGCGTTCATGTGCTCGAATATCATCCTATAAGCAGGTATAACTAATAAGTTTTTTGTTGATAATATTGCCACTAGTAAATCCCCATACTTATCTTATATTACTCAGATGATCGAGTATGAATCTAGGGACTTGGCTCGGATATTTCATATAATGATGATTCTTGATCATTCTTATTATTATTCGTATCTCTGTTTGTCCTAACTTTACGCAAAGCTTCTGTTAGGTCAGAGAATTTAAAATATACATTTTACCTCCCTTTTGCTGTGACATCCTAAGCTAATTCTATATAATTTTGATTTGTCCATTTTATTTCTATTAGAAACATAACTAATTAGGCTAGCTTAACATTCCTTATACTCTTCTTTGTATGTCATTAATCTCCATCCGACTCTTTCTTGATTAATACAGTATACTTTTCAAGTAGGCAACAAAACTTCGAAGGTATAAAGACTAGGATGGCGTGGCTTTTTATATGGTTGCGGTCTCCTTTCGTGGTATAGAAGTTGTCTGCCCCTATTTTTGCAACTTGGCCGTATTGGCAGGAAGACCTAGAGGAACGCACTTTGTCCGGAGTTCTTAGTATGTATGATAATTTTCACGGCCAGACCGAGGACTTAGTACATTCCCAGACGTTTGGCCGGCATCGTCAATGAGCCTTGCCAGTCTTACCACCACACTACAGCTCGTCTAAGAGGCAAATGAGGTCGACCTTTTGACCAATTGTCTGCTAAGCAGTTGTAGTATCTCTTCTGTCCTGGGCTATTTCCCTTTCCTATATCCTCGTATCATCCCTTCAATATCACAATTTCTTACTTACTTATCTAAACCTTTTTGAAGCCTATTCACACTCCCCGCTGCTTCCCACATCCGTCCCATTGTGCCGAAAGTGTTGATCAAAGACCACGGTTTTATCCGCAATCCTCTCCTTTCGGGTCATATCAGTCCCACTCTTGCTTCGTAGGATCCTTCCCTTATCTGCCTGTTTCATTGATTTCACTCTATCGCTGCCACCGTATCCATGTTACTCAACGCGGTACGTTCTACACTTTGCCTCAAGCCTTTGGTAACACGTATACACCAACCACTCTGAGGAAGTCCCTAAAGTCTGGATTCTCCATTGGCATGACTACCTAACTTTACGTTACAGATTCCCTTATCACTGTGCGGCATGTGCACCGAATAAATCTCGTGGTCAAGCCTTTACTTCATGGACCACGTCTATGACCAAACTTATCTACTAATAGCTAACTAGAAATGGCCACCCGTTTCTCTCGCTCTTTTATCTCTAATGTCAAGTCTATGATTTGCTCTTGCCTCTCGACCCCTAAGTGTGATAGTTCTACTTGATTTGAATAGGCTCACTGTAGACGCTTTCTCTTGGTTTCCGATTGTTTCTCTCTGGTCTCCTTGTAATTTCTTTTCCTAAAATTAAAAATATTACCTTTGTCTAGTTTTCTTATTTTTTCTGATATTGCTATTCTCTTATCTTCGAGTTTGCTTAGGCATTATGCAAGTTTTCGCTAATCCTGCCTTCTTCAGAAGTTATTTTTCTAAATCATCCGTTTTTCCGTCCTCTCCTGATATAAGAAGTCTTGTAAAGCTTTTAAATAACGTTTATCCCTTGACATGATCCTTTATTTTGTCATGGATGCGACCAATCCTTCTCTTGCGAGCTCTGGTAACTAATTTTTTTTTGAAATTTTCTGACGGATTATGTTGAGGCTTTCCAAAGATCCGGTGCTTTGATTCTGCTAGCTATTTTGTTTTTTATTCTATGAACCATCATAATCTCGAGTTTCGCTTCCTCGATACTTCTATTCTCTGATGCTCTTCTGGCAACTTTTTGAATTATTGCATATATGAAATCAGAATGCTAAATAAAATGTATAAAAGTATTCACTTGTGTGGCATTTATTTATATATCAATTATTTATTTTATTTCATTTAAGATGATTAAGGAATGGTCGTTAAATTTATTCTAATTGTGCCTTCTTTGCGATGCTTTCATTCGGGATACAGATTAAGCTGAATTATTATAGCTTTATATAATTGACCATTTGAGAAATATTTTAGCTTGAAGTGGGAAGCTGAGAAATCTTATTGTCTAATGCCCTTAATAAATTATAGGATATAGTCATTTTTCGTTAAAAATTATTTACCCTTCAAATAAACACAGAAAGATACAACAACAAGGTTAAGGCTGTTTTATATTGTTGTTAATTCATTTATAATTCAAGCCCATCATATTCCTTCATCGTTAATATATTTTTTTATCGCTCGGTGTTTAGTAAAAGTGGACTTGGATTATTTTTATGATGGCTTTTATAATAAGACATTTTTGTTTTTTACTATGCTAGCATAAGCCTGTTCAATCTTATTCCAACTTTTTACGTGAGTTTTGGTTCGCTGGTAAAAAATTGATGTATGTTTGTGCATATGTACGTGTGTTAGGTGAGTTTACATTCCTCTAGTGTTCTGAGTCCAAACTCGCTTTTATATCTAAAAGATTTGCTCACTAACTTATTCGTTATGCGTCTAACCGGAAAATATAATGCAATTTTTTAACCATTATTGTTACGAACACTTCTTAAGGGGCTATTGTGGCTAACCTTATGAGTTACGGCATCTTATAAGTTCTTTGCATTCATTTGAGACACAATTCTATCACTTACTGTTCTTCACCACTTTGACGTTATGAAAATTATTTAAGTTGTCAGCGCCAAATGTAAATCTGACTTAATTTGTTTCAGATTTTGGGCTTGTTTGCTCGATCTGATAAAAAATCATAATCTGTAACTTACGATCATTCCCCAAAAAGTATTTACCGTCAATGTCGCTCGATTTCTTACTTTAAGCCTTGCAGTAGTATTTGAGCCTCTCTTTTGCTTGTTTTTCCTATCGAATTTCACCCAAACAGAGGTTTATCTTATTCTGTCTGCTGCTTCACCATTCCTACAGTTATCCCGAGATCCCCAGAATTTAATTAGTATAGGCAATTTCCACATGACAAAGTATTGTTTACTACACGATAGTCTTGATGGCTTTGAAACAAGACTCCCATATATGCTTATTTTTTAATAATTTCGGCTCACTCCTATAATATCAGACTTAAAAGTCTTAGTATGCATGTGCTTATATAGAGTTTTGAAACACTTAGATTTGTGAGCCATATTATTACTCTCCATTGAATCGATTTCAATAACTTATTTGCTTTACTATTTTCGCCAATTTTTAAGTTAGTTTTTCACTCCTTAAGTGAATTTAGCCACACATTTTCTGGGAACTTTTGACAGTCCCTGGGAATCTTAGATGTATTTCTAACCAGCTAATAGGTGCCTGATTCCAACAAAACGGAATCCCCATATTTGCTATTAACAATTTAAAGGCTGTAATACTTATAAGAACAGACTCTATCAATTATACCAGTTATAACTGCAATTATAATATTAATAGTACTCAACTTATTACGGATGTTATTTGCCGATGTAAACATAACGTATCATAGAAGTGGGTTGACCTCGTTATCGCAACTTGGTCTTGTGCTCAGGGAGACTATGTAGAACGCACCTAGTCCGAAGTCGTCTGCCATAGTAGTTGTCTTGTTTCCCAGCATCTGACCGTT